AATGCAATTTAACAAGGGCAACCTTTAATTTCGTTTGATTTTGTGGGATTGAGATATATTACCAATTGGTCGTTCTCTAATGATAATTCATAAAATGATTATATCGATAGACTCATACATACAGATTCAGAGCCCATACCTATTCTAGTCCTAATATTTTTGAATTCTCATGGCTTCATCGTCCTCAAAAGGTAAATTGCTACCTTTCCAAAATATTTGGAATCGAACGATTCAAGTTAACGTGCAACGCTCTCTTCAAAGACAAGATATTTGGATCTTGTTTCAAATGCAAAGGGAGAGGGAAACACGCACATGATGAAGTAGAAGGTTACAATGTTCTACTTTAGTGCAAACATACTCTTTGAACTCAAAGTTGCGGTTGTAGAGTGAAGAAGAAGACTCAAGAGTAGAGGTTACAATGTTCTACTTTAGGAAAGTGTTTCTCTCTTTGTGATATCCCAGGGAAGAAGAGAACGACTCGATCAGAGCTCGGTAAGTAGTAGAAATTAGGGTTTTTATGTTTTTCACGTTTGCCCTATACGATTCTTGTCTTTATTATGTATCGAGAAACAATAAACGATTTCTCGCTTCAAGTACTCTTTCCTTTTCCAATGTAAACTATTATGTTTACTAATTTACATTTTCCTTGCCAATTTACTTTGAAAAAAAGAAGTATATAATCTATATATATTTGCATTTGATCGAGTATTTTTAATATAATCTTGATGAATTGTGGGGTTGTCTTGAGCTTCTGAAGGGAGACTTGCAAGATCCTTTAATTCAACTTATGCATACTTGATTTACAAAAAAAAATGCAGTAAGTAAACTATGATATAATTGATTTAAGACAATCTAACTAACTTGATAACTGAACTTTTATTTTATTTTGATTACTGGTATTCCTTTTTTCACATCTACTGATACTTGATAACTAACTGTTTAAAAACTGAACTGAAACCAAATTGATGACCAGATTACACTAGCATTATAGTACATTTCAGCTCCTTCTTGACACCAAAAGAAAACATGGAAATTCATTGTTGATGACTTGATGAGTCAGATTTTGAGTTTGGATGGTGTCGGAGATTCGCCTAGCTAAGAGAACTTTAGCAATGGCTCTGATGGTGTCTGGAGTAGTCGGACAACATCCACCAAACTTAAATCTTCAAAAATGATTCTCATCTAATAAATCAAATATATCACCTCCAACATTCCACATATTACTTGGAGCACCTTTGTGAGTAAAATAGAAGATCGAGATTAGTGTGCACAAATACCACATATTCCACTTTTTGTTGGAGCAATTATTTTTTTTTGTTGAAGTTAATCTTTCAAAATTTTGTTTTTAAATACAAAAATACAAATATATCTCTACGTTTTCAAACTAGTTACTTATTATGTTTCAAGGAAAAAAAAATCCGCCCCGCTTTTAAAACGTAATTCAACGTTTCCGCCGTATTCAATTTTACATCATAACAACAACAATTCCAAAACACTTGTTCAAGGTTAATTATCTTCTTCATTCGATCTTAACAACGATAATGCTAAATGTGAGAACGAGAAAGGTGGGTCTTTGAGAGAGAACAAGTGAGTGTTGGAGGTCTAGATTTTTGTAAAACTTCAAGAACATTGATTCAAGTGGATTTTCGGAATCGTGAGACGTGGAATGTGTCTCACTGACATTGAAACTTTTAAAACTCTCACTCTGTTTTATTCAGTCTTCTTACTTTGTTTCTAAAATCTAAACACAACCTCGAACCAAGTCCACATCTTTAGAATCTCAACACGGATGTATAATGATATTCTCCAATGTTCAGGATAATGAATCATTCTTGATCCAGAAAATACTATCCAAGACTTTGTATCGATGAGTAGAGTGCACAATTGCAAAATACTATTCATCATTGCGGGGTTGGTAAAAAAAAGATTGAAAAACCATAAAAAGATTCTCGTTATGATTTGCTTTGCGCTTGGTAGACGCACTTAATCCAAACAACAATGTGTACTTGTCTAGAGAAATTCCCAATATTAATATATCTGATGCTTAAAATTAAAAAACAAGCTAAGGCCAAACCAAAACAGTACAACACAGTTCAAATCATTCGTTTATTATAAAGAAGTAAAGAGCTAAAACCAAATTTCAAACTGGTTACTGTTTTAGTTAAAACGTGAATGAATGCAATGCAAAGAAGAAAGGAATAATATAGTAACACATTGTCT